TATATATAGTATATATAGGGCATTTTTACAATAAAAGTTTTTAATCTTACCCCTTAGCTGTGAGATATTTTTTGGGACCTCACAAAATGGAATGATGTCATCTTGTATGAACAGACAGGAGCAGAAGTTGGAGGAGTTGCTGCAAGGAGGGTAGGTGTAACACACGGTGATGTTCCAGCTGTATCCAGGGCTGCAGGTACACATCTTCCCTGTATCGGTAACGTTACATTCTACAACAAGACAGAATTAAGATTCTGGATTTGACTTTACTCCACATTGGTCATTCAGGAAAGATAAATTAGAAATGTTATTCTTCAAACATTTGGTATTTTTTTGGTCAAATGATAACTTACTGTTAGAAGAAATATCTCAAGTGTAAGGGGAATTCACCTGAAAGGATGCCGCATTGCCCATCAACCCAAACCCTTGAATTTAAAAGATTTGTATTGGCATAACCCATACTTACCCCCAAACCTCCCACTCCCCTCTAGAACATGTCCTGGCATTATTGTTTTCTTTTACCTTGCTCCTCCAGTATAAAACAGATTTTATTACCCAACAAGACTGCCTCCATAACCCTCTATATGACTTTATCACTGGGTGTGTAGAATTCTTGCAGGGGAGGCTGCTCTGTACATACTGATGTAGACCAGGGGTAGGCAAACTCCAGCCTTCCAGTTGTGGTGAAACTACCAATCCTATCACGCATCTGCCTCTGGGAGTCATGCCCGTAGCTGTCAGAGCCTTGAAAAGCCTGACGTGATTTGTCGTTGCCTGATGCAGGCAGTTCTCCAGACCTACATCTCCTAAGAGCCCTATACAAGGTGTGTGGCCAAGGGGAACATGTGTGTGGGCATAAACACTCACCATCCTTACACAGCTCTTGCTCACTAGTCTTACCTCTGGTTACTTCTATCTTCACCAAGCTGACACTGATTGAGGAATTGATGATTGATGGACGGTGTTTGGTAATATTGATGTGTACCTTAAAAACCTTTTAACATGACTGCTGTTGTAACTTTCCATGGTCACATTATTACCAGGTCTGTAAAATTCTTGTAGGGGAAGCTGCTCGGTAACTATCGATATAGGCAGCTCTCACATCTCCCAAGACTCTTTCCCTACACAAGGTTTGTGGCCAGGCCTTTGGACTTGATGGACCATTTGATCTTTTCCTTTCATCACTCTTCTAAAGCCAGGGCTGGATTTCCCACAAGGCCAATCGAGGCCCGGCCTCAGGGCAGCAGGGAGTAGAGGGGCGGCAGGGGTGTGGAATTCCTATCTCCCAACATCCAGGACATGCAGTTCTGGATGCCAGGCGGGTAGTTGTTTTCTACATTTCTCCCTGCTTTGGGCAAGGAGAGCTAAATGTACAGCAGGGAAGCCGTCACCTGTTTTATACAAGTAATCTCGGCGATGTAGCGGATATCACTTGTATGCAGCCTGCATACAGGGGATGCATTGAGGAACCTGGCATTGGGGCAGCAGAGAGAGTAAATCCGGCCCTGTCTAAAGCAGCAGCATTGTATTGCTGGGAAAAAACTATAGAACATTTCTATAAACTGGGATGGATGTGACAGGGGATAGGGATAGGTGGAGATCTGTAGTCCAGCTGAGAAGAACCAGGCCCGTGACTAGTGACACTGCTCGGGATTTCAGTGCGGCAGAGGCAGCATTGTCAGCCAATAGAAAGCAGTTAGGGACTCACTGGATTTCTGGCAGGATCCTAGATATTCTGAACCGGCAGTGGGAAATGTTCACAAATTGCAGATATGTACTGCGTATGTTGTTCATTTTTCCAGACATACACTTTAAACACATGGATGTGAATCATATGTGCGTGTTGGCCTTTAGACTGTGTTTCCACTGGATTTGCATTATGTTTGCTTGACATTGTAGTGTTTGCCCTGAGTCACATTCATCACATTCAAACTAATTAAAGGCATTTTCCATGTTGAGACAGAACTTAAGTGGCTCCTGAGCTTTGCTTAATGTGACACAACCTGTTTCATCAATCCTGATTCCCCAGACAGGCCTGTGGGAGACCAACCAACCAATCAGCAGAAAACAAGAGCAAAGTTGGCCATACACAGCTCGAATTTTGTCAGATTCCTGTGATTTGGCCAGAACTGGAGCTTTGGATGACCCTACCGACACCACCCAGCTCAACAAACCATTTTGAAAAGTGGAAGGATGTGGGTAGTAAGAAGTCAGCCCGATAGTTACTGCAGCCAATCAAATGCATCTACTAATTGGGCATTCTGAAAGTATTGGTGCATCCCTACTGTTTACCCTGGATCGGGGAATCAAGTGATTTCCCTCAAAAGAAATTGACATGCATGGCCAGCATAAAGAAGGCGACTTGTGGGGATCCCTACAGAACTACATCTCCCAAGATCCTTTATCTACACAAAGTGTGTGGCCAGGGGGACATATATAGGTTGAACTAGATGGACCTGTTTTCTTTATTCAACCTTACCTACTATGTAACTATGTGGACAGGCATAGATGCTCACCATTGTTCACAGCTCTTACCTGTAGTGATTTCTATCTGCACCACAGTGACACTGATCGAGGAATTGATGGGCAATGTGTACGGTAATAGTGATGTGTTCCTTAAACGACTTTCAGCAGCACTGCTTCCGTAACCCTCCATAAGGATGTCCGTGTAAAACACGTACTCATACGTGCTCCCGCTAGCTGTGAAAACACAATTCATTAATATTCTTATTCAGTATCGGTATTCCCGAACAAGTATTGTGCTTTGTAATTAAAGGGACAGTGTCAAACAAATGATCTTCAACAGTAAAGAGGACCTCCCAATACCTTCACACATGCACATGGATAAATATCTGACACGTCACAATATGTAGTAACAGTATAATTGTTGGCATGCCATTCATAGAGACATGGGTAAATCCAGGGTCAGATTTCCCACAAGGCCACCGAGGCCTGGCCTCGGGGCAGCAGGGAGTAGAGGGACGGCACAGCCGCCGGGCGGGTAGTTTTGTTCTACATTTTCCCTGCTTCGGGCAAGCAGGGCTAAATGTAGAGCGGGGAAGCAGCTGCTCGTTTTACCGCTCTCCTGGGGGCTTGGGACCACGGCACATTCGTTTAGGAGATAGAGCGGGGAGCAGAGCGGAGAACGTTCATTCTCCGCTCTGCTCTGTGTGAACACTGAGACAGGAGAGCTGCACTCGCAGACTTCCCATCTCGGCTGTCACAGGAGAGCCAGTACAGTGCTGTGCTAGAACTCCTGTATTGGAGGTGACAGGTTCAATGAAGAGAACCTGTCACCTCCAAATGCTATCACACAGGGGCTTGTTAGCTCCTGTGTGATAGCAATAAAGTTAAGTGAAAAAAATAATATTACATTTTTTTTATAAAAAAAATTAAAATAACGTTTTTTTTTAAAAGTACAAAAATAATAAACATAATTGATATTAAAACCAACCCTGCCGCCCCGCCATCTGGTCACAATTCTCCATTGGGGGGGGGGGCTTTGGCAGGGAGGGGGGCACAATGAGGAACCTGGCCTTGGGGCAGCAGAGAGAGTTAATCCGACCCTTGGTACATCAGCCATTCTCATGTATTAAACTGTGATTGACATTTCTGCCACTAGGTGGCAGTGTTTTTGTAACATTCTTCCTATTGGAAATACATGGTTAGGGTGTTATTTCCTGTCTCTGCATTCCTTTTATTTCCAATAAAAAAAGAAGAGCTCAGCCATGTGCCCAGCAACATCTTGACTGGTAAGAGTTGTATCTGCAGAAGCTTTCCAGCTATAATTTTACTAAAAGCTATTTTATCATTCCAAGGCAATCCTGAAGGTCCAATCAAGTGACTTTGCTTAGGCTGAGATAATGTGATCACTCTGCTGCAGGCAGGAGGAAGCATTTCCTCAATCTCCCCTCCCCCAGTGATCAGTCTGCTGCAGGCAGGGGGAATCATTTCCTCAGTCTCCCCTCCCCCAGTGATCAGTCTGCTGCAGGCAGGAGGAATAATTTCCTCAGTCTCCCCTCCGCCAGTGATCAGTCTGCTGCAGGCAGGAGGAATCATTTCCTCAGTCTCTCCCCCAGTGATCAGGCTGCAATATAGTAACTTTGTAGGAAGTCACAAGGTAAGTGGTTGCAGCAGGGGTTGACCTTTGTCAGACGTTTGGGGACAGCCAGGAACTGCGTAGGCACCAGGATTTTTGCTGGGCCATGCCTGTGCAGTGTGTATAGGAAGGCCCGAAGCGAAAAAATAAATAAATAAATAAGCGCAGGGCATACATGACAAGGTGTATAGGGGAGACAAGCTAAAAGGGGTTAACGAGGGTTCGGTCTAAGGGACATGGTCACTTACCTGATTGGACAAGTCGAAAGGTGAGGTGGGGCTTGAACGGTGGTCTGAGGAGGAGGGTCTTCTCAGCAGCAGTTGGAGATTGTCTGAGGTAGAGTGAACTTCCCTCCCGCCCGCCTAAGGATTTTTGGCTAGTCTGGGTAGTTATGCGGTTGGGGTCTTTGGAGGCCATCAAATAATAGGTGCTGGTGGTTAAGGTTTGGGGACCTGTCCTGGTATGGGTCCTCTATCCATCTATTGATATTTGGAGTGTATGCGGTCAGTTGGTGGTTGTCCCCGAGGCGGTCTGTTGCGGCTGGGGGCCTAACAGGTTGTAGTACTGCCGCAAGTAACGGATCAAAGGTGTGGCCTTCAAAGACCTGCAACTTTGTTCAGGTAATTCTGATAATTGTTTACATAGTATGTTTTATATATCAAAGTTGTTAATAAACGGCTGCCAAGGCCATTTTATACCAATCTGGAGCGTGGTCTAGTTATTACTTACAAGGACGGGTGGTGGGTGGTCTTGGGGGCTTGTAGTGAAAAAGAATGGGGACATCTATGCTACCTCAGTCATGGCGCAGCCACTTGTAGTCTCCATGAGAGGTGCATGGCAACACAGTAGCACCACTTTGTCTATGGAGGGAGTCATGGTTGTCACCCAGGCTGGTCTTCAAACATGTCTGCCTTTGTTCATCTCCATTATGCAGGGAGGGGAATTAGTAGTTAACAGCAGATAGCTTGAAAGGCAGATAAGACTGCTTTTGTACTTTCAGTTCAGCTTACAGGAAGTGACAGGGACGCAGCATTTCTGGCAGGATCAATAGGTATTTTCTGTACTTGCTGAAAATGAAATGCCGTAAGAAAGAAAACGAATGCCTCCGCCCCATCTAAGGCCTGGTAAGCTGCAAGACTTTTAAATTTTTGGTTTTCTGGTTTACATACACTTTAATAACTCAGACTTTGTCTTCAGTGAAAATAATTGGCAGTTTCCTATTTTAGTTTGTTACCCCAAACCCAATATAGCTGAGCCAATGAATACTTACTTGCTAGTTGCCTTCTGACTCTTTCTTCATTGCGTTCCTGGAAGGAAACAAGATAATAAGATAAAATACAGATTTCAAACTCATCACATTAGTCCCAGATGTACTGCCAGATGGATATTAAAGTGAAAAGGATTTAAGCTTTTTCAAATGCTGATCCTGCTTCTTGATGATTAAAAGTTTCAGTTTCCTGCAGAATCAGCCGGTCCCCCGGGCACTGGTCCTGGGTGTCTCCTTTCCCTTGCACGGTCCTATGGAGCCACCCTTGTGTGTGCTAGTAACCTGTGCGTGTCTCCACAAACACACAGGCACAGGAAGGTAAGCCACACTCCTGCTTCCTGCTCCCACTCCTCCCTTCTCCAAGCTAGTAGATGGAAGGTTGCCGGAGGCAGGATGTGGACAGGAAGTACAGGGAAGCCAAACAGAGAGAGTTGGAGCTGTTCAGAAACATGATGACTGAGTGCTTGGGCAAAAATCCTTTGCTGGGTGATGTATATTTGTTTAATCCGGATTCATAATTTAAAAAAAGATTGAGAGTTTAATACTACTTTAAAGGTAGTACATACTCTATATTAGGGATGCATCCACACCGGTTTTTCGGTTTCAAGTATGAGTACCGATATTTATATTTTGGTGCTCGCCGATACCGAGTACCGATACTGTTACTTGTACTAGCATTGACACCAGCTTCCTAGGCAATCTGGAAGCCTGGCGGCCTCATTACCTGCCACCGGACTTCTTGATTGCCTGGGAAGCCGCCTCCATGCTCTTTGACTGGTCCCATGCTGATTGGGCGGGAATTCGCATGGAGCCGGCTTTTTTCCTTGAGCAACAATCTGTAGGGAATTATCTATTATTATCAGGGATGGCCAAACTGCCGCCCTCCAGCTGTGGTGGAACTACGAATCCCATGAGGCTTTGCAAGATTCTCACAGCCACAGACATGACTCCCAGAGAGGGATGTTTCATGGGATTTGTAGTTTCACCACAGCTGGAGGGCCGGAGTTTGGCCATCCCTGATCTACACTGGCCACCAATGCAAGGGAACAATTTTTAACTGACTACCAATGGGTCACCTCTACATTGACCACCAATGCAAGGGGACAATTTACAACTGACTTCCAATGGGTCATCTCTACACTGACTACCAATGCAAGGGGACAATTTTAAACTGACCACCAATGGATTATCTCTACACTGACCACCAATGCAAGGGGACAATTTTAAACTGACCACCAATGGGTCATCTCTACACTGACCACCAATGCAAGGGGACAATTTTCAGCTGATAACCAATGGGTCACCTCTACATTGACCACCAATGCAAGGGAACAATTTACAACTGACTTCCAATGGCTCATCTCTACACTGACTACCAATGCAAGGGGACAATTTTAAACTGACCACCAATGGGTCATCTCTACACTGACCAACTCATCTCTAACTGACTACCAATGCAAGGGGACAATTTTAAACTGACCACCAATGGGTCATCTCTACACTGACCACCAATGCAAGGGGACAATTTTAAACTGACCACCAATGGGTTATCCCTACACTGACCAGTGACACCAATGCAAGAGGTAAATTTTCAAATGATAACCAATGGGTCACCTCTACCCTGACCACCAATGCATGGGGACTTTCTGTGTTTCCTTTATAATATCATTATTCATTACGTTTCAAGGTTATTCCTGCAAATGATTTCAAGGGTTCCCCTGGAGTAAAAAGCTTGAGAAAGTCTGGTCCCTGCCAACCTTTCTCAACCTCCTTACCCTTGAGGAATAATTCAAATAGTTTTAGGGTCTCAGGGAACCTCTACTAAAAATTATGACACCCACAGCTCCAGGTACGTTAGGATGATATGTATCAGAATTTTATCAAATTGTTTTATGTATTTTGGGCTACCTATTAAGAAGGGAAGAATCATATTGGTTAAAACTGGGGTATTATATCGACTAATGTATGTGACAATGATATTTATGAATTTTATGAATTGAAAACAATTTTATTTACAATAAATTTGATATATTTTTACGCATGGTTCGATGTATATCTCTCCACAAACCCTTTCTTTTTTCCCCTTTTTCTTTGCACGTTAGGATGACAAGTAAATTGTACAGAATTTGGCATTCATAGAGTATTTGACACCAAGACCAGATCATCTTTTAACATCCTCAGCTGTATACGGCAAAATTATTTTCAGTAATTGAATAACAACAACAAAAAGAAATGCAGATAGTTGGACATTGTGATGCGCCCTCTTATGTTGTTGGTGGTCATTGGAAAATTGTTCCCTTGTATTTGTGGCCAATGTAGGTGAGAGATCAATTCACCATTGCTCACTGATCCACAGCTCTGGCTGGCTTTGATCACGAAACGTCCCTAATGGAGTTTAGAGATTTCCTGCTCAGTATATAAATTAAGATATCTAAACACTTAGCAATGATATTATAAAGTGATGAGATGATCGTATTATGATCAACATGCTGAGCCAGAAGGATTTTTTTTAGGAGCTTTATTGACCTCGACTAGAGAAAACCTTAAAAGAGAACTATGGGGTAAGTGTTTTTCCCCATAGTTCTCTTTAGGGTCACGGGAGGACATATACTAGCGTCCTCCCATGACCCAAAGCTCAGTATATAGGAAGCTATTGCCCGCGATATACTGTGAGCGCGGCAGCCAGGACGGATCCCGACATTACTGTTGAGATTCGCCCAGCTGCGTGAGTGACAGCTGGCTCGTCCTATCTAGAGGCAGAGCCAGCTGTGCCCTCCCCCGTCCGTTCCTCCACTCAGCGCTGGAGGATCGGAGAGGGGAGGGGAATCATTGCGGGCAGGGAGACGATCGAGAAGTGAGCAGATTGGTGCATGTTCCTACTCACTTCCCGATCAATAGAGCCGACCTGTAACAGCTTCTTTGTCTAACTATGAGGATGAGGAAATCAATCACCTCATAGATCCCCTTTATATATTAGGGGTAGTTTACTTAGTTTTTAAGGAGCATTGGCGACCTGGCTCCTGGAATTTCTCCAGCCCTGGTCTACTACGGTTTATCCCCCTTACCTGGTCATTGCGTACAGGAGAATGCAGATAGCAGGATCCAGACATCACCAGATACAGGAATATCGCTGCAACAATGGCTCCCATCCTAAAGCACAGGGGAAAGTTATTATTGTAAAACCTCAATGTAACCAAACACACTTGCATGATTCTGACAATGAGGCCGGGTGTGCTGCAATGGGGTTTGCTGCAATGGGTTGACTCCGGGACCTTGGACTGCTGCAGTGGAGGTGGAGCGAGGCGGAAGGGACCAGTGTCAGACCACATTCACACTGAGCTGCATTTCAGCGCTGATTTGAGCTGAGCGACTTTGAGAGACATTGAGCTACGTTGAGCTACATTGAGCTGCAGTGCACATATTCTCGCACTACGTGGCGCTACTTTTGGCAGGGACTTCCTAGCTGCAACATCGGGCTGTATCCAATCAAAAGCGGTCTTGGTGTGACATAATTCCTCTTCCCGTTTCCTGCTTATGTTCCTGCTTAGATTTCTGTGCAAAAGTGATACTTCTGTAGCGCGACATAACGTGACAATGTTGCGCAATGTCGCCCACATTCGTGTGACATTGAGCTACACCATTGAAGTCTATCGGGGCCAAATCGCACGAAATCCGCCATAAAATAGGTCATGTTCAAGTGACAAGCTACAGGCGACATTGAGCTGTGAGATGTGAACAGCTCCATTGAAATGCATTGGACAAGCTACACTGAGCTACATTGAGCTGATCTTTGAGCGATTTTTGAGCTCAAATCACGCTACAAATCGCTCAGTGTTCAATGTGGTCTCAGAGCAATTAGAAAACCTGATGAAGGGGACCCTGCGTGACAGTCGGCACCAATAAAGAAGATGGATTATTGACACAAGTCATAGGTGTGCTGGTAACATTTATCATATATTTGAAGATGCACGGCACCATCCATGGCTATTACAGCACCTTCTTTCATACATAGGGGTTCTGGTAAGGAGTCCAGCAGTTCCTCCCTAAGATTTCAGTCTAAGAACAAGCCGGCTCGGAGGATCGGGTTTGGATCATTTTTCAATTTTCCTCCCTTGACCAAAATGAGCACTTAAAGTGACATTAAAGGATACATTTTTCTCCTCCCCCCAATGTTAATGTTAGCACTTACCTTAAATGATGTCTCTTAATCCGATCTTCTTCTTCTTTCCTGTCCTTTTCATCTGTCCCTCCAGCGGTGCGGCGGCTCTCCGATCCAGCGCTGACTTCTCTCTGTTTGCACTTCTGATCCCACGGTGTCTGCATGCGGGTGCACGCGTCCATAGACTTACCTTGCGCCTCTGCTCGTCTCCCGGCCGAGAATCGGAACTGCGCATGCGCCCGCCCCAAGATGCTTTGCGGCCGCCTGAACAGTTTCTCTGGCGGGAGCGCGTGACGAAAACAGGGCAAGTTTAAACCGCTGTTAAAGCGGGTTTAAAAAAACCAAAACTGTTTGCCTATATCTACTGCTTGCTAGCAGTAGATATAGGCAAAAAAGCGGGAGGGTTTAGAACCCCTTTAACCCCCTCGCAGTGCGGGCCCCACTGCAAGTAACTGTTTCCCCAGCGTTCTTCTTCTTAAAGGTCCAGCATGGGGGACAAGCATGGCTCCCTCCATAGATACAGTGAAGGAATGAGCGTACATAGGGAGAAAAATATGAGATACAGGGACGAAATCAATTGTGTAATCATGACAAGCAATAACCACATGGCTAGAATAGTACCGAACAAGTGATCGGCACCGCACAAACAATACAAAGCCCAGGCGGTGAAACGCGTGAGGGGCACTGGCTTGCTGTGGGAGATGTTCAAGGTGATGTACACGTTGCTTACGCTACTCTCTTGGATTTACTTTTTGAAACATGTTGGGACGATTTCAATACATTTTGGATGGTATCAACTCCGGATTTGTGCGGCTGATCTTTTGGAGACTGGTTTGAACAATTGGGAAGCGCACTGTAGCCTGCACCCAGAGTGTGGACTGATTGCAGCTGAAGTTAGAGTGGAGCGTTGAGTCTCTAGAGCTCTTTTGAATACAAAGTCCATATTTTATGATTTATGTATCATTTGTTAAACTCCATATCGGCCGTATATTCGCTGGTATCGTCTTAAAATCAGAGGAGTGAAAAGGCATCATCACAAATCATTCCAAGGCAGCTGCTTAGTTCAATGACTGCAAGGCTCAGATCCCATTCCAAAAAATCGTACTCCTTTCTAAAGAGTCAAACCCTAAAAATAAATCTGTAGTTCCGTATTGAATCTCCATGCGTTCTATCCCGCTCCTAATAACCAGATCCATCTAGAAGTTTGTAAACGTACTTATTGGAGATGCCCGTAAGACTCAGCCCTCACCCGCTGTCTGAACTACAACTCAACGTCTGAACAATGTAACATTATCATTGCTTGCTGGGAGCAATGCATGATGGGATGTGTAGTGTTAAGAAATGGAGACTGCATCACATCAAGCAGCAGGGAAAGTGAGGCAAAGCACACTGGGAATCTGGGAAGTTAATGGAAGTGATGGGCAGACGGAAGGCAGCGCTCACTGCAAAGCAACTCTAGTATGTGTTCCTATTACAATGCTGATGTTATAACAGGAGAGGAGATGCCGGGACTTTACAACTCCTTTATGTCTTGAAAGAGACCCAGTTTGGGATGGAACGTGTCGTTATTTTTTTGGGAGCATTTACGCTCATTCAAGGGAAGACAAAGATCTAGACATGTGCGATTCGTTTCGTTCCGAATCAAAATTCTGAGGAATTTTCCGAAACTCGGACATTCTGACACATCCGAATTTCCGAATCCTAATGCACCTGAATGTGTCAGAATTTGAATTTCCATTTCCGAATTTCAGATCCCGTCCGAATTGCGTTAAAAAATAAACTGAAAGCGGACATGTGACTTTTCTGGCCAATCAGATGTGTTTTTCGGTTTAATGCATCCGAATGGGTCTGAACACGAATTTTCGTTATGGCAACATGGGAGCCATATAAAATATATACATATAATACTAAAGCTGAGGCTCCCAGACCTGAATGGCACTCAGGATCCAAATTTCCAAATTGCATTCGGGAGCTCCTGGATGTCATTCAGGTCTGGGAGCCTCAGCTTTAGTGATATATGTATGTGGCTCCCAGACCCGAATTGCTTTCGGGAGCTCCCAAATGGAATTCAGAAATTCAGATCCCCAATACCATTGGGGTCTGGGAGCCTCAGCTTTAGTATTAATATCTGTATATGGTTTTCTGTGGTATTCGCAACAAATATTCGAATCCGAAACCCGAACCGAATTGAATTTTGGATCTGAATTTCAAAATATCTGAACCAAATTTTTCCACAGCTTACATGTCTACAAAGATCCCCGAGTATAGGAAACATCAAAATGTAGATAAGTACACTTGGATGAAATACAGAGTCAGCAGAAGGGATTTGGAATGGCAGCCACACTTATTTGCTCCATTTTGGTCTGTTAAACATACCATTGGCAGTGTTTTCTTGTACTTGTTCATCCTGCCAAAAATCTTCTGTGCTCTCTGTCTGCATTGTTATTAGTGAACTACACAGCAGCTTCCTACTATGTTATGGAGATGAAGAGAGGGAGAGTTGTTCTGTAGTCCTAAAGCACATCTAAACCCCAAAACAGAAATGTAATATGTTGCAGCTCACCATGTCTTAGATGTGATGGCTTTTTTCCCATGAACTTTTACCTGGTAATCTTGCAAAAAACACTTCCTGTCCTTGGTTGGCTACGCTCACTCCTCCAATCTATGCAGGGAGCAATAGTTGTCACGCTAAGCTGCTCTCCTCATTTGGACTACAAAAATGTCTTCCTCTATTCATCTCCATTACAGGGGAATTGGTAGTTTACAGTAGATAGTTTAGAAGGCAGATAAGGGGGCTTTTGTACTTTCAGTTCAGCTCACAGGCAGTTACAGGGACACAACATTTCTGGCAGGATCAACATCTTCTGTACTTACTGAAATATTCTTTAGTTTAAAAAAGAAACCTAATGCAGCCACCACATCTACAGGCTAGTAAGCTGTCCCTTCATGTCCATGGTTTTACCTCCATTGTATCCATGGAGGGAGTCATGGTTGTCACCCAGGCTAGCCTTCAAACTTGTCTGCCTTCGCTGATCTCCATCACATCGATGAGATTGATAGTTTGCACAACATGATCGACGAAGATACGATTTTCATTGCTTTCTTTTGAGGCCACTAGAAGTAACAAGGACACGTAATTTCTAGCAAGATCAACAGGTATCCTGTGCTTGCTGATAATGTTCCTAGTCTGAAAAGTGAAAACGAAGTTTGAGATTAACTCCATTCCAAAGACTAGAGGCCACCACCTAAAGTTGGTGGAGAAAAAATTCCAGCACAAGGGGCGAAGAAGGTTCTTTACAGTAAGAGCGGTTAAGGTCTGGAACTCACTGCCATCGGCAAGAGTGTAGATTTGTTCAAGAAACGTTTGGACAATTTCTTGAGGGACCGTAATATCCAGGGATACAAGTATCCCTAAGAATGAGATGATGCTTGGACCAATATGGGTTGGACTTGATGGACGTATGTCTTTATTCAACCCCAAATACTATGTAACTATGTAATGCAGCCTCCGCATCAAAGGACAGGCGAGCTGCAATATGTTACGTTTTTCTTTTTGGGTTTGGATAACCTTTAACACATGCCCTGTCCTAGGGTGACAACACTGCTCCTTCATAGATACAGTATAGTGCAGGGGTAGGCAACCTTGGCACTCCAGCTGTGGTGAAACTACAAACTCCACCATGTCTCTGGGAGTCATGCCTGTGGCTGTCAAAGTCTTGCAATGCCTCATGGGACTTGTAGTTCCACACCCAACCCCACCGGTATAATGATTGAGCGTTGTTACCCTAGGAAAGGATGTTTATAACAGGCAGGATCACCAGGAAAAGACAATAAAAACCTACAAAGAGAAAACTTATTCAGCCCTGAAATCTAAAATATACATTGCTACCTTTCTGTTCTTGGGTTTAGATAGAATTAAAGCCTTTGGATCCCCATATTGGACGTGCAACTGAAGAAGAGTTCAGCAATGGCAGCCTGGTGTCTCAGTACAGGATTCCTTTATATATCTTTATAGGCATTTTGATCGGCATTGAACAGACATTACACAGACAAGACTCGGTCCAACTCCAATTCTTACCTTCTAGTAAGGTTCATGTCCCATGCATGAGGATTCCGACGTCTTGGACGGGATTATCTCAATACATCTCTGCAGAGCGGAGGGTACAGAAGACATCACAGTGACACCCGCACTTATTTTAATAATGATTGGATGCAAATCAGTGCAAATTCCATGTCAAACACGGCAAAGCTCTCCCGTTTGGCCGAGGATGGATTGTATTGTGCTGCTCTCTTTACTTTGACGCTTAAATACAACTGTATACAGACATTTCCATGCAGATTTGAATGTCAAAAAACATCTTGTGGATGAGTCACATTTCTAGAAAAAAATACTATTGGAGATTTCGCCTAGATGCAGGACCCTCCAGCTACAACAAACTACACATCCTGTCATGCCTCTGGGGGTCATGTCTGTGGCTGCCAGAAGTCTATGGGCAATCTGGGAAATCACTTCTGGGAATTAAATTGCATTAAGCTGACATTCACTTTGCAATGTGAATAACCTCTATTTGGAGTAGGTTTGCGGTTGACTTAAAGGAGTAGAGAATGTTCTCTTTACATTGGTGGTTAATGGAGAAATGTCTCCTTACATTGTGTTCAGTGAAGGGGGTGTCCTCTTACATTGATATTCATTAAGAGGGCCAATTCCATTGTGTTCAGTGAAGGAGGTGTCCCCTTACATTGGTGGTCAGTTGAGAAATGCCTCCTTACATTGGTATTCAGTGAAGGGTCCACTTACATTGTGGACAGTGAAGGAGGTATACCCTTACATTGGTGGTCGGTGAAGAAATGCCTCCTTTGAAGAATCCACTTAAAGTGGCCAGGAAGGGAGGTGTCCCCTTACATAGTTACATAGTTACATAGTATTTGAGGTTGAATAAAGACATTAGTCCATCAAGTCCAACCTATTAGGATCTCATTCTAGGAGTACCCGTACCCCTGTATATTACGGTACACATTGGTGGTCAGTTAAGATGGAGTCCCCTTACATTGGTGGTCAGTGGAGAAATGCCTCCTGTGAAGGGTCCACTTACTGTGGTCAGGATGGGAGGTGTCCCCTTACTTTGGTGGTCAGTGAGGATGGAGTCCACATAACATTGGTGGTCAGTGGAGAAATGCCTCCTTTGAAGGGTCCACTTACTGTGGTCAGGATGGGAGGTGTCCTCTTACATTGGTGGTCAGTGAAGATGGAGTCCCCTAAATTGGTGGTCAGTGGAGAAATGCCCCCTGTGAAGGGTCCACTTACTGTGGTCAGGATGGGAGGTGTCCCCTTACATTGGTGGTTAGTGAAGAAATGCTTCCTTACATTGCTATTCAGCGAAAGGTCCACATACATTGTTTGCCAGCAAAGGAGGTGTCCCCTTACATTGGTGGTCTGTGGAGAAATGTATCCCTAAAATGGTATTCAATGAAGGGCCCACTTACTCACTTTCACTTACACTGTGGTAAGTGAAGAAGGTGTGCCCTTATATTTGTGGTCAGTGGAGAATTTCCTCCTTACAGTGCTATTCAGTGGAAGGTCTACTTACGTTGTGGTCAGTAAGGGATGTGTCCCCTTACATTGGTGGTCAGTGGAGAAATGCTTCCTTACATTGGTGGTCAGTGAAGGGTCCCCTTACATTGTGTGCTGTGAAGGAGGTATACCCTTACATTGGTATTCAGTGAAGGGTCCCCTTACATTGTGTGCTGTGAAGGAGGTGTACCCTTACATTGGTGGTCAGTGGAACAGTGAACCCTTACATCTATGCTCTGTGAGAGGAAGAGTGTCTCTGATATTAGAGGTCAGTAAAAAGAATGCATCATTTCATGGGGGGGAGGGGGGATACTGGGAAGAATGCTACCCTTGCAGACAGCTAATAGGATCATTGGAGTCATGTCATTGGCTCTTTGATGGCCCTTGAACTATGCAGCCACCATCACATGGGGGGGTGGGGGGGCTTGAGAAAATTTTTTAAATTAACCCCATAAATTACATCCAAACTATTTACTCTACATTTCCCTTTTTGCCATCCCCTCAGGAAGACTAAGAGAGAGAGAGGGAGTCTAAGTCTAGAGAGAGTGAGCTTCATACTCCATGCAGACTGTCCCAGGAAAGACTCAAACCTAAGCTCCTAGGTAAGTAAGATAACCTCTCAGCCACCATACTTCCCGGAATTAGACCAGAGAAGAGAAGATATTCAGCAAATGGCCAACATGTTTTATTGGCACAGCAAGTTAAAAGAGTTTTTGATTGTTTTTAGTAGTATACAGATAAATAATATCATTGTGATGTAAATTGTATCAGTTTTAATCAAAATATGGATCTTCCGGGGACCAGCGCTATCATTACATAATTAGAGTAGAACCCGCATAATATAGAAAGATAGAATTTTTATCTTTCAATATATATTTATTAATATACAAACTTATATTTGTTAATCATTATTTCTAACAGGTAGGTAGCACGATACAAACTACTTTGAAATTGATGATCTGAGCAGAATAAACAATCATACAGAACTTTGCCATGGTAAGACAGAGACTGTACGTCCCCATTTAGATACAGTGTGGCCCCTCGATTACCTGCAGACAATCACAACTGGACAGCTGCTGGCCTCCTGCCCGCAGGATATTGTATGAGTGTCATGGAGGAATTCATTTGATTGGCCCTATTTGCGGATCTGAATGGGTCCTGGGGAAGTGGAGTGGAAAGGGGGTTGGGTAGGCGAGTGGTGAGGAAAGTGGGGTTGGGTAAGGATATGGTGGGGAAAGGGGAGGTTGAGTAGGGGAGAAAGGGGGGGTTGGTTAGGTGGGTTGTGGGGAAAGGGGGGAAGGAGTTAGGTAGAGGAGTGTAGTGGAAAAGGGAATTCAAGGCAAAATGGGGGGGCATGGAAGTATTTTTTTTAACAGGAACTTGTTGCATCACTAATTGCGACCTCACTAATTGCGACCAATCAAAGCTAAGCTGTAGTGGATGGGGGATGTAAAACTGCATCCAGTGTCAGTATTATATCGGTCTCCCTCCACCTCCTCTTGATCTTTCCAGGGAGGTCACTGAAGAGAACAGCCGTGCTCCATCGGGGGGAATAAATGAGGAAGTCTGTACTGAGTCACCAGTTCAGACTCGGCCTTTGGGAGGCCACGCACCCCAAGCTCTCCCTTCATGCCTGACACATGGACATACTTAGCATGCAGTGCGAGAGCAGCTGATATACAAGCCCAAGACCTTCATTTGTGTGCACCTGGAAGACTGAGGACCTCTAGTGGTGCGGTGGGAGTAGTGCAGGAGACAGCGGCGAGGAGGAGGCGAGTATTGCAGCCAGAGTTTCTATAATATTTTAAACACTGTTTAAAGAAGAATGAGGACACACT